TTAAAACTTTTGAGATTATTGTGATAATTTATTTTTAATCTTATTACTACTAACATTCTAATAACCAAGTTTTGTCATTTGACGTTAAATCATTTCATTCCAAGTATGTTTATTTGCCCTTCTCATTATTTATTTTATAAAATTTACTTACGTAAGTTATATCCACAGTTTTATATTTTAGTTATTTTAAATATTTAAAATAATTGCATCATTAATTAATTAATAATATAAATATAAATATAATATTTAATTTAGTGCCCAATATCAATAACAAATTACGTTTACCAATAGTAAAGTTTGTTTATAAAACTAATATATACAAATGAAAAAACTATTAGTATAGATAAACATTAGTGTAAATCATCGAAAACAATTGACTTGCGTAGACCCACATACTTATCCCGATAGTAAATGCAAACATTAGTGTAAATCATACGAAGCAAACAAATAAAGCTTTTGCTAGTGTAGGTATATGTGGATTTACATTCTATAATAAGGATAAGGGTTTTTGACTATTAATATAAAGTTGTTTTTCTTGTAGTAGTTATAAAAAATTTTATATTTTGTAAATATAATTCATCCATGTAAATATTTATAAAATAACTAGTTCATTTTCTAGTAAGGAATTTCGGAGAGGGAGCATTAAAGTCCCTTACAAACATAAGAATAAATGAAAAACAATATCTAAGAAAATTAAGCATGCCAATTGTAGAATTAAAACCCATAAATTTTACATAATCGTTATATGCAATTACTAAATGATTTTGTGAGTATATATGTATGTGTGTGTATATATATAAGTAATATTTTGAAAAGTGTCTTGAGGGGTTACCCAAAATATGATTTATGATACGATCGTGATTCATAACAAATTTGTTGACTCTTTGTTCGTAAGGAACTAAATACATAACTTATACACCAACTTAGTACTCATTTCACCTACCTTTGACCAAATTAAAAGGCTGCCTGAAGGGACGTATAAATCCAAACTTAATCGTCTAACAAATTTCAACAAACATAACAAGTAATTGACATGCCCACTTAAGATCATATCATTTTCTTCATATGCATATACTACATAGACTTATATATTTTATATATTACTTGGGAATTTTTCGTAATCCATATAATTGGTGGAGGCCATGATTCACATCTTACAATTAATGTAATTAAATTGGTCAATACTACGCTTGCAATTACATCATACACAACTACAATTGTCAGGAACTATGTATACATATAATATGGTAAGTGTTAGAATCACTTCAATTTCACAAATATATATAAGTAATTTATAAATTCCTATATAAAAGGGGTAATACTCACTTGTACATACAGTAACATATATACATACGTATACATATTTTCAAGCACGAGAGAAATTTTATTCTAAGAAAAAACAAGGAAGTTACAAAGTTTATTGTTCCCTTAATTATGATTGATATGTTATTGCTTTGCCCAATATTGAGGAAAATAACAATGAAATATGCAGATTTATGAGCTTCATGTAATGACATCAATCACTCTGCTATGTATCAATAACTTGAATTCAACTCTCTCGGAGTTGCGATAACTTGAATTTAACTACGTGAAAGCTCGTTTCAGGTCCAAAAATACTAAAATATTTACGTTAGAGATAGTATGAAAATTCGTATCCCTCCAGTAACCACCAACTTCGAAAACTAATTAAACTCGAGTTTGGAGTCAAACTATGACAAAACACCACATATCTTCGTTTGATGGCCGAACATACGTTCTCCATACTCTAAACATTGGGATTCTATTCTTGTAAGTAACACTAAAAATTCTTTTTAAAATAATAACACTCTAATACTAAATGCCCGCGGTAGGCCAATGTGAGAAAAACTAAGTCATAAGATTGCCTAGAGAGAGATGACAGTTCTTCGTGTAAACTAACCTACTACTCCATTACTTCTGAAATATCAAAAGAAACAACCCTAACCAAATATGACTAATATTAGCAATAATGTTGAATCTTGAACTAGTGGGTCAAGGTGCCAAAGAAAAAGAAGAAGATGCCAAAGTTATGAACTTTACTTTTACATTATTTCAAACGGGAATCGGTCAAATATGAATATATATACAAATATATATGTATTATACAGATAGGCAACTTTTAAGTGGACAACCTGCAGGTGTCAATTGCAGTTTCTCTAAAAGCGACCCCCAGTGACAAGAATGGAACATGTACAGGCAGAATGAGGAAACCCTAGAGCCCCCCCAACAAGCTTAATATAAAGTACCCAAATGCAACTTGTAGGCTAAGATGATTAATTTGAGAGACTATATAACATATATAAATATATCCCAATAAGCCATAACTAGTTACTGCATGCCTACAATGTCCAATCAACTCGGACTAACATCACAGCCAAATCTTGGGAAGATTCAGATGTATCAACCCCACCCCGTCTCTATCTCCCTCTCTTTCCCACAAGTCTGTGTACACACGTATGCATATATATTTATATATTTATTCATGAAGTCCTCACCATTAAAGTCCATGAACAAGATAAGCTGGAAGTGTTGTTTCTTACCTTAAAAGGGGGAAGTCTTTGAGTCTTATGACTGCAATAATGCAACCCATTTCTCGACCTTTCTTGTTGATTCTCTTCTTTTACTGCGTAATCACAAAATAACACAATATACGTGTTTCTCTGCGTGTGTGGGGATAGATATATACATACATGTCCATCACAAAATATGAACTTGATTAGAGAGTTTTATTTTCTATCTTTAAAGAAAAAAAAAAATCCCAGAAATTAACCACAACAACTAAGCCAAGAATATAAGAGAAATTTCAAAGATTTTAGATTCACAGAAGATGAGAAATTACCACTAACTATATCTTACACATGATGATGGTGATGAAGTACTGTGAGATATCGATCAATTACATTAATCTTCCTTCTTTCTGCACAAAAACAAGTCAGCAAAAAATCCAACCTACCATATCTCTTCCTCTCTCGCTCTATCTCTCTCTTTTCACATATATATATGATCAGTAAGATGGAGGTGGACGAGGAGGGGGAACCCAGAAGACATCATGAGGCAATTGACCATTAGGGAGCTGCAAATTCTGGGGCAGATTATACAACGGAGGCACTGTGGCTTCACCACCTAAACCTTGAGTCGTCTGAGCATTACCTCCTCCACTACTATTTTCTTGATTCTCGTTACTTCCATTGCCGGCTTGTTGTTGTGGTTGAACGCCGCCATGGTCGTCCTCGACCGGGAGCCTCTCGTAGGTTGCATTGCTAAAGGTGGCGGCAATAATAATCACGGGTCCTGATGCCACCAGTGCACCCATCACGCCGCCTCCCACAACTTGACCCTGCCCGCCGGCTAGGTACACAGTGAGCCCCGTTGCGCCAGGAGGAGACGGTGTGGGCAAGAATGCACCGGAGAGGGACAAAATTTCGAACCTTCCTTGCAGGTTGATGACACCGCCCGGCGCGGCTGGTTGTCTGAGGGTGACGTTGGTGACGACCCCACTGCCGCTCAAAACGGAGACGCCTCGGTGGCGGCGGCGGGAGAAGGTGGCGACGCAATCGACGATGTCGCTGCCGCTTGCGATTTCCAAGACGTGGCTCCTTAGCGAGTTGGGGCTCTCCTTAGTTATCACGACGGGGGGCCTGGGCTTATTTTTTGAGCCGGGCGGCCTTCCTCTTGGTCGGCGACCGCCGCTGGAACCAGGGCCACCGCTGCTGCTACCGGGTTCGATGGAGTCGTGACCGGTGGCTTCTTCGAGTTCGAGACCGGTGTTGTTGTTATCGTCTCGGCTATCTTCATCTTCATGGCTTTGGCTTTGATTGACGGTGTTAGGAGTATGCGTAGTGGGGTTAGCGGAATGGTTACGGATGAATTCTTGCTCTCTTCTCGGACCAAGCCGGCTTAAACTGGTGTGTTCCTCTTCTGGGTTTCTTAAGTGAAGAGATGGCGGTGGCGAGATCTGGTCAACGTTTCTCATCCCTACATTTCCAGCCCACCAACGATTAGCCATGTTTGTTTCTGGAGAAAAGGAAAAACCCCTTTGTTTCCTTACTTCATTTCCTCTTCTTCTTCTTGTTTTGCAGTCCGGTCTTTCTCAATAAGAGGATGAGGACAAGGAAGCCAATACTGATAAGAAGCTTGTAGTTTTCTTTATTTTGGATCCTCTTTTGTTTGCCGTAATAGACTGAGAGATCTAACGAATATAGCCCCAAATCCAAACAGATACAATCCAAAAACCTTATCTCTCTCTTTCTCTCCCCCAAAAATCAATCCAAAACACTAAAGAAATTGCATGAATTAGACATCGGGGATATGGTTTCGTCTTCTTTTGCATGAAAAACCTAAACCCTTCTCCCTCCGAATTGAAAACGAAATTAATCAGATCCAACTAAACCCAGCTCAAACACAGGAAAACCAAGATAGATCCTTCAAAACCCGGTTAAGAAAAACACCAAAACGAGATATACATACATATCCATCTTATATTTTCGCAATCAATACCGTGAAAGTCCGGCAGAAAGGGTCAGAGAAAGTACAACCCTTTTTCTGGTCCTATTGTACTGATGAACAGCTGAAGTAGAGAGAGGAAGAAGAGGGAAAAAGAAGAAGAAAGGAGATACCTTTGTATGTAAATATATATCAATATTAGTACCTTTCAACACAGAATCATCAGCAGCTTATGCTATAGACTGCTGCGTACGGCTTCAGGTTCAGTCGAAGGGTTGGGTGGGTAGGTGGGAGGGTCCTCTTCAAGTAGATTTGTTTTCCGAGTGTGCTTTAATTACCATTACGGGGTACCGTGTATGGAAAATGAGGGAGGGTGTGGGTGTGGGTGTGGGTGTGGGTGTGGGTGTGCGTACGTTAAAAATAAACACTTGAAGACCCAAAGGCGTACGATAGAGAATCCTGCACCCACTGGGGCTGAAGTGAAATCTATCGTAAGCGGTTTCCGCAGAGAGTCTGGTTTTCTCTCTCTCTCTCTCTCTCTCTTCCCACCCATTTTGAACCGACCAATGGGCAATTGATTCGGACAAGAAATTCACTTGAATTTCCAAAACTACCCTTTTATTTATTTAACAAAATTACCCTTCTGTTTTATTTTTTTTTAACTAAAACGTACTTCTTTATTATTATTAAATTTAATTAATAATTATTTTAATAATCTCATTGTTTTACTATTTGGTAATAATTTATGTTTAAATAATGTGTATTTTAATTAAATTATTTTGAATGTGATTACATAATGTTATTTAAAAGACATAATTCTTACATATTTATTTATTTTTTGGATTACACAGGTTATTTATATAATCTAAATGGGATAGGTAAGAGTTAAATGTGATTGAATGGGGGGAAAAGAAAATAGAGGGAGATAAGAGGGGCAAAATGGGAAATAAAGGGGAAGGAAGCAACTTGGGTCTATCTTTTTATCAATAAGAGTATGGGGTAACGTGCGCGAGAGCTGGTGGGAACACGTCACAGTCCGTCGCTCCCGACAACTTAAACCCTCCTCTCGAACATTAAAAAAAAAAAAAAAAAATCAATTTTTAATTAATATTTCAAATTTCCTAATTTTCTCAAAAAATTAAAAATTTAAGGGTAGGAAATAAGTCAAACAGGTTCGTGAACAAACTCATTTTGGTTTGACTAACAAAGACTTTACATTTAATTTATGAAAATAAAATTTAAAATATGTAATAAAATGTTTTTATTTATTTAGGAAAGAGAAAATTTACCTTTTTTAGTAGTTTCCTATTTTTCTTCACCGCTGTAGAGTGCAGCTTTTTTGTTTAGGAAACGATGGTGGCCATTTTTTGACACCTGCTTTCTGATGCCTCAGCGACTGCCTTCTCACTCTCTCTTCAATCTCAAGCAACCTCATCTTCTTCTTTTTTTTTTTTTAAAGAATTTCTTAAGCTTCTGTTTGAATCTTACATATGCAGGGAATTTGTTTATTGTGAATTAGTGTACTTCGAAGATCATTATACAGAAAAGGGGTATAAATATATGTCTTTTAACATTATTACAATTACCCTTTCTTTGTTTCTTAAACGCAATAACTCTAATCTTTAATCATTCCAAAAGTCTTAAAACCAAAAAAGAAAAAATTACAGTGGTAGATTGTGATTCTATTGAGCTCCTTTTACAATTTTTACTGTTTTTTTTTTTTTTTTGGGGTGCTATATTGGTTATATTATTGTGTTTTATTATTTGACAATTACATAACTTGCACATCATACTATTAAATTATTATGAATAAACTAAATTCAATCAACATATATGTATATATATATTATACAAAATTGAATTATTTATACATTCAACATCATAAGTACAATTTTTACCTGGCGGAGAGTTCATTGATACTTATGATTATCTCAATGTGCATTTACAAAAGGGTGCGACAAATTCATCCTTGAAACTAGCATTCAATAGGCAGTCACTATGAATAAATGTTGATATCTCAATAATATTAATTAAATTCATATTTAGAAGTAATAATGAATGTGCTAATATGCTTGTCTACCTTAAATACATATTAGAATATGAACAAGAAGATTAAAATTATAAACTTTTAAATCATATCAAAAATATTTTATACAAAATTATAAGATAGTTTAT